GCTTGGACGAGGTTATAGCGAGTATCGCAGCCCACGCGGAGGAGAGCCATACTTCTTAGTATCTAACTACTCGTTTAATAGAGCACAGACAAGTGGCGATTAGTACTTGCAAATATTGATGATAGCAGTACAAAAGTAACTCATCAGTTTTTAGATATATGAATTAAGCTGAATGTATTTGAGTGTGGTGTGTGCGCGGTGTGCGGCACACAGCACACAGCACAGCACAGAACAGCACAGCACAGCACAGCACAGTACTGACGTGCTGAGTGGCTGATGTTGTTAGCGCTGCGATATCTTTGAGACCTCAATTTATAAAAATGTCACTATTACAGTAAGTTATTATTACAACTACAACTTTTGGCCACTTTGATATCTAATGTTATTACAAAGAGAAAAATGTAAGTAGTTTAAATATTTTATTAAATAAATATTCGATTTCGTCGCACCAACGGGGATCGTTGCTTCTCTCGGTACTCTCCAGGTTATTACTGCATAGTTTATATTTATAATATCTGGAAGAAATACAAATGTTTTTGATAACTTTTTAATATATTTGTGTCGAGACATGCGCCGACGCTGGGATCACTCTGATTACATGCTAATTACCTATTATAATAGATAATATATTTATCTAAACTATTTTATGTAGTTGTAACAAACACAAACGTGCTTGAACTAAAAATACTCTTTTTCCGAAGAGTATGCTTTAATAAAAAAAACTGATGACATCTTTGAGTTATCTACGAGTCTCTAGGGATCGTAGGACCCTTGATATTTTGTGTTAACTAACATACTTATTTTACAATGTCGGCTCTCTCTGGCGACCCACATTTTGACAGCCATGTTAAATTGAAACATCTCGCCGAGCGGCGGCGCTCCGCTCCAACACTGTCTTCATTCCTATTGTATAATAATCTTTTTACTCTTACATTTATAGATATTTAAGCTTTTTCGCTTTGCATTTATTCAGACACGAGGCTATTCTATTACGGTCTATATTTACTTCCACGTACGATACTATATATAGTTATGTATGAAACATCAATTGTAATTGTTAATAATTTTGAGCTTCGAATAGTTTAAGATAGATTAATAAAGTTTTATTCTTGTTAATGCACATAAAATGTAGTTTGATGGACCAAAACTTGTACATATTGTACAACAGCTTGTATTGTTGTATTGTGATATGACGCCGGCTCGTCTGCCTGCAGCGTTGTCGATACACGCCGCTCAATAAAACTATTATATGTAAAGAGCTCTTGTATTATTTTAATAATTTAGCTACTGATTTGTCTTTATTAATTAGGTTTCCAACTTTGGCAGAATAATCTTATCAATTCCTATCATCAAAAGTAAAGCTTAGGTTGCTCATGGATTAGGCGTTTTACTTGCAATTTACACGTTCAGGTTCGAATCCTGCCTTGTACAGCGTTTTAACTAATTTTGACCTGCACTTATAAGAAAAGAAATTCAAAGATATATGTGAAGTCAGAAGTCAATCCACCCGCAGTGGGGCAGGGTGGTTGACTATGGCCTAGTCACCCCTCACTTAGGGTAGGCTCCGAGCCCCTCGATCGAGACATGCAATGAGCTGGTGATGATAAATACTCAGAAATAGACCTATAAATTATAAGTACGATATAACAATAACAAAATACATTTTTATAAAAGATTTAATATAACTAAAAATGCACAAATACAGTAAGTTGAGTCCGGAGTATGTAATGTAGGGTGCGCAGACACTAGCCGCAGGGCAGACACCAGCCGTCGCGCAGACACTAGCCGCAGCGCAGACACTACGCAGGCACCAGCTGCGAGGCGCGCACAGGCTGCCGGCTGCCGCAGCCCGCCACTGACAACATATACATTGCATACATAATCGCCACCGGACAACGATCCTCGCCAGAATATTGAAACAACATTTAAATATGTAACACCATTTTCAATGATAAGGCCACACTTAATGCCAGCAGTGCTAAATAACTGGACTGGCGATCAACTGGCACACACAGTAACTGGCGCCAGTAAGTCCGTACAGTTTATGCCTGGCCCACGCAACTGTCAAACTGTGCTGACTATATGTAAAGTGCACTCACACATCAAATCCCATTATAATTTTGATGACTGTCAGACTGTACACACTTTACTTTGGTGTGTGACATTTGAAATTAATAATATTGAATACTTAAATACTGTCGCTCCTTATGTGACAGCAACATTTGAGCGCACTCTGTACCTGGGCAGATCACTTTATTCCTTGTATTGATTAATTTCATGATGGACTCCTTGTCATAGACATGGCCGCACACACTGTTCTGGACCGGGTCGGACACTGGCCGCTTTGTGATAGGGTCAATCTGAATATAAACATCAAAATATTATGTTACTTTGTGCCTATTTACTGGCAGATTTTAAACGCCTCTGCTAAAAGTAATCATTTTTGTTTTTAGGTAATACTTAAATCTATTATTAACGCAAAAATTACAAAGACAAATTAAAAATTCTACATAATTTTTAATATAACTTAAAGCTAGAAAGTAAAAGAGGGCTTAAAAACAAACCACCTTCATAGTTTTGTTGTCTTATTATCATAGTGATATACTTCATAGTTATGTAGTTTGCCTTTAACAAGTAATAATAAAGAAATATTACACTCACATATATATCTTGTGTTTCTGTAATAGCTAAATCACAGTCATCTAAGTTTTCTGTGGAAAAAAATATTTAACACATCTTAGCACTACACAATAATCATATTTAAGTTTATGTCACAGTTATTTAAATGATGATATAATTATGTATGGAAGCTTTTATAGATTCTAACAGACAAGGCCAAGGGTTTTGGTGTGAAAGAAAAGAAATCAGATGTAAACATTTCCACCGAGGCATAACTGGGGATAAGATTTACCTTAATTAAAGTTTATGTACCTTATGTTAGTTTTTGAATAAATATAAAATTTAAGGAAAAATGACCTTACTATTAGACACACCGAGTTGACAAATGCAACTTCTCACAGTAAACGCTAAATCTAAACTTACGTGTAGCTTTCCGGCAGCCTATTTCAATTTTTTTATTCAGTTCTACCATATAGGGATGTTGGTTGTTGTCCTCATGTCTTTGGGCAAGGCTGTCCAAATATAACTCAAACCTATTCTGCAATGATTCAATGTTCGAGTCAATCTCGTCCTGAAAGAAATATGGAGATATACAGCTGAAAATAATTTACTTGTTTTAAAAAAAAATTAAGCGTGTTTTATTAACTGCTTAATATAAATAAAAGCATAGCAAACCTTAGCCTTTTCTAATGCTTGGTTGGCAACGTCTTGGCGCGCTTCCATCATGCAATATTCATCGATACAAGACTTCAGCTTAAGAAACTCTGTTTTCTTTTCTTGCCCATCCAAAAACAATGCGACATTTTCTGCACAAGAATACAAACTCGCGACACATTGCTTTCTCAAATCACTTATCTCTGCATCTACCATTTTTAAGTTCACTTTCATGTACGCTACCGTAAACGTATTTAAAGTTATTTTAGAATTTGTTTGTACTAGCACCAATTTACAAAATCATTTTAACTTGTTCAAATTCAAAATCCCGCATCAAAACAAAAATAAAACTTCAAGTTCAAAATCAAAGAGTATGTAATGGAAAATGTATATTTACCATAGAGTATGTAAGCATGTTGCAAGAACTTTGTGTTGGGGTACACCGGTAGAGGTAGACCTAAAAAGAGATTGGTTGGTTCGCGTGAAAAATGATATGATCAAGAAGGGAGTGATGAGTGAGATGACGGATGATATTTATTGTGACGACGAAAAGCCGGTACGACGACCCTACGGAAATAGCGTAAGTAGCGGATGACACAATATTCCCATTGGAATGGTCTTTACTATGACGGGGGATACAGTAAATTAAAGATGTCAAGAATATTTTTATATAAATAATTTATTTATAAAATATATCTACTATAAATATAATAGCAGTAAAACAATATTGCATATTCTCGTGGCCCAGCGCGGCGGCTCGGTCACACGGTGACGCCCACGTGGCC